AGGGATGTACACACCTGCAGCATGGCAAAGCAAGTCTCGAAGGAACTTCAAGCTCTAGCAACATGATCCACAGGTTGGCTGCCCTACAGGTAGTGTAGCTCATAAGTTGAGGCAGAGAACTGGCTAAAGCAGCCACACACTGGACTGATTACCAGAGAGCAAGAGAGAGGGGGCAGGCTTTGCTGAGCCATTTATCTCTTTGCCCTCCAAACAAGCTGTGACCCGATTAATCCCACATCTTCCTATTGGCCAGGTTGGCACAATAAACCTATCTATCACAGATGTTTATGCTCAGTAGCCATCCAGGAGATTCAAATCAAAGCACTGAGGAGATACTACCTTACACCAACAATGATAACCAAGTTCAAAAAAGAAAACAAATGCTGGAGGAAGTGTGAAAAGATCGGAACCCTCTTACACTGCAGGTGGGACTGCAAATGTGTACAGCCATTGTGGCAAGCTATATGGGGCTACAAATTCCATCTGATCCCCTAATACTTCTACTGATGTGTACCCTGGTGCAGTAAAAAGAGACGTGCACTGCCATGTTGATGGTGGCACTGTTCACAGTAGCAAGGAGTAGGAAAATACCCATCAGCAGAATAAAGACACTTCGGTATACACACACACACCAGGATACTATGCATCCCTTTTTAAAAAAGTGATGAAAACATGAAGCACCTCATGACGTGGATGGACCTCGAAAACATTATGGTGAAAAACAAAATGATAAACATAGTCTGAGAACACTACAATTAGTATGAAAACAGAGGCAAAGACTTACATACCCAATTCACAATAAAACATTTTTAAAAAACAAGGGAAGCAAAAGAAAGAAAACAAATAAGCAAGGAAGTGTGAAAATGAGCAAAGCAGGACTCAGGAGTCCTGGTATGGTCAGCACCCTCCACCAGTCAAGGGTCTTATAAACCGATGGAGGCGGAATGGGGAGTGGGAAGCCTGTTCCTAGAGGCCTTTTCTGTTGGCCTACTTGGGGTCTGGATTCAGGGACTTGGTGTGGAAGTAGCTTATTCAGGCTCAGATGGTGACTAAGGTCAGAGTCTTGTTCCTGGAAGGAATTCTTGGGGGCCGAGAGAGCAGCTGGGGCTAGGGCAGGGGTTATGGAAGGAATTCTTGCCACCATAATAAGAACTAATCCATGACAGGCTGTTTCCAGCGCTGCACTTCTGCTGGTCTTACGAGGCAGACCTTAGGCATTGAGTCCTGAGAGCCGGATCCTGAGAGTGTGGGTAGTAGAACCAGAGCTGTGCATGGGGCAAGGCTGTGTAACCAGCTGCTAGGTGTGTGAAGGTTGGGGCTGGCCAGTACTGATCATCAGGAGAGGTGGCAACAAAAGAGGAGCCACCCTTCATTTGGCCAGCCAGTGGTGTGCATTGTTTATTGTCAGGCCACTGTCTGGATGGAGTTTAGCTTATCTTAAGTAACAGTTTTATTGTTTTTGGTCGAGTACTGGTTAACATTTTTCATTAATATTTTAAAACCCTTTGTTAAAACAATCTAGTTTTGTGTGCCTCTTTTACTGTTCTTATTTAAGTATTAACTGCATGAAATAATCAACTGCATTTCAGATTTTTAAAAAAATGTTCACAGCGGTCAAACTTTGTCAGGTCAACCCCACAGTTCACCTGTCTGTCTCCTCTCTGACTGTTTTTGATTTAGCTATCGACTCTAGTCAGTATTAAATCGACTTCTCTAGCTTTGCTTCTGAAGTTGACGTTTACGCGATTATCATCCTATCTGTTTGTTTGGACTTGCATGTCTTTGTTGGGGAGGGACTGTGTAGCTGGTCTGTTAATTTATCATCTTCAAACGTATCAGATCTTTAATGAGGTGATGGGAAGGGCCAGGGGTGACTTAAGTAGAATAAGGATTAAAAAAAAAAAAAGGTAGAATAAGGGTGAGGGGCATATAAGGAACATGAATAAAGACATTTTGAAGCTAGGACCTTGAAGGTTTTGGACAATATGGAGAGGCAATTCGGTCACTTAGACACTAGCTACTACCATGTTTCCCCGAAAATAAGACATCCCCCTAAATAAACCATAGCGGGATTGCTAAGCATTTGCGCAATATAAGCCATCCCCCGAAAATAAGACATAGCAATAGGCGTGGCTCTGCAGCGCACCGCACGGAGCGGTCACGAAGACAGGCAGCCCTCTCATCTGCCCCATCGTGACAGCTGCTGTCTCGGAGGGGACCGGACAGGTGCGGGCAGCCCATCTGCAAGGTCGGCTCCCCCTGTCAGGTCCCGGTCGTTTGTGCGGCAGATGAGGCAGAGAGAGACACAGACAGTGAGAGTCAAGGTCGCCTCAGTGCAGTGAGGAGCAGGACGCGCTGCTTTAGGGCCTGTGTGTCCTCGGGGGGCAGAAGGAAGCTGTGGCTGCCGTGTGACTCAGTGCTGCGGTCGGTGTTCCAGAAAAAGACGACTTCGCTGTCTGTGAATCAGTGTAGACTGTCGTACTGCACTTAATAAACATAAGACATCCCTGAAAAGAAGCCAGCATGTGTCTTCTTGAGGTGAAATAAATATAAGACAGTGTCTTATTTTCGGGGAACCACAGCAGCTAAAAAGGCAGCATTTCGCCATCAGCAGCCACTCCTGCTGGAGTGGAACATGGCCGCCTACTTCTGTGAAGACGGACAGCCTGTAACTGTGAGCTGGAACAGACTGGACAGTGGATTTGGACATGGCCCAGCATGACTGGGATCGAGACAAAACGGAGCCAAATTTCAGAGCTGTCTGCTGGAAATGCCCTCTTAGTTCCTGTAATTGGTTCAGAGAATTGGCAGGTTTTCTCCATGGCCCCTTTTTAGAGTGCAGGGCCCAGGACTCAGAGGTGGGCGGGCCTGAGAAGGCCTAGAACGACCGAGAGAACCCATCATCCTGGTGCTGTGGAGTCAACTGACCCAGAGCGAGTTTCTAGGTGAGAGTCGATAGAACTGCTGTCACTCTGCAGGGAAGCAACTCTTTCCCCCGTGAGGGAGGCTTGAACAGCCAACTTTGATGGTTAGCAGCCAGTGCCGAACCCGCTGTCCCAGGAGAGCTGCGTGCTTTGAAGGCTGACGTCCATGAATCTACTTCTCGTTGAAGAAGGACTTGCCTCCGTGTGTGGAGTAGCCTGTTAGGTCTCGTCAGTATCGGGACTCCAGATCCTGTTACGGAAGCAGAACTTTGGTCTTTGTTGTGTATTTGTTTGCTTGCCTTTTACCCACTTACCCAAGCAAATACAGTAGGAAGTTACGATGTCTCCTGTCGTTCAAACCTGATGTTTTTATCAGAATGTCAGAACAATATGCTTTCCAGATCTGCAGCTCTTCTTGTCTCTTCATTCATCTTGCTTAGAGAACGTTTTCTTCTTCTGTCTTGGTGCTTGAGTAAGTCTTTAATTGAAAAGGTGCTCCCAATGGACATGACAGCCCTTTGATTGATGCCCGTCTTTCCTAAGACTGTAGTAATGTCCAGCCACCTTCTGAGATTAATTGCTGCTGGTAGGGTTTTCGTTGTTGTGCTTGGGTTTTTGTTTGTTTCATTGAAAATCTTTGAAATTGATACAGAGTGCGATACCTAATAGTTCTTGGCTCACTATTTTCTAGGCTTAGAGCACAACCTTTCACAATACACTTTAACTCTTGAAGTGGGGCTTGATGACATTTACTTTTCCTGATATTTTGGTGGGGTAGTGGTTATGCATTGGGCTGAGATCACATGGTCAGCAGTTCGAAACCACCAGCAGCTCCTCCGGAGAGACATTGGGCTTTCTTTTTTTTTTTAACCATTACCATTTTATGGGGGACTCATACAGCTCTTATCACAATCCATCCATCCATTGCGTCTAGCACATTTGTACATATGCTATCATCATTTTTTAAAATAGTTTTATTAGGGGGACACTGGGCTTTCTATTCCCATAAACAGTTGCAGCCTCGGAAACCCACGGGGTGGGGGGGTCGTTGTGAGTCAGCATTGACTCAATGGCCATGAATGTGTTTGTTTTATTGATTAGAAATATTAAGTATTATGTAAGTGCTATCCTTTCCAAGGGGAGAAAAAGTAGGCTTTCTACTCTAGTCAAGATTACAGTCTCTAAACCCACAGGGGCAGTTCCACCCTGTCCTCTAGGTTTGCATGAGTTGACATTGACGTGATTACAGTGAAGGACAGGATGGGATCCTTGTGGAGGTATTTTTTAATATATATATATATTTATACGGTTTCACTACCCCAAGTCAGTTCATTGGAATAGCTACTGCATGTTTTAAGCTCTTCAAAAAGGATCCCTCAGGAAGCTGTGTGGGGTCTCCATGAGGACCTGCTATCACCAAGAATTTGGATAAAAATTGTTGTTTCAGGCCATAGATTTTGGGTTTTTTTGGCTTTGTTTTAGAGTATCCTGAGGCAGGGGAAGCAATGGCCTGAACATGTTCCATTATCAATTTGAACTGCAGCCATTGACTCTAGAACAGGCACTAGGTCCGGTTTAACCATTGTTTGGAAACAACTTTTTTTTTTTCTTCCAAGCCGCTCATTTTTAAGAACAGATGTTAAGATCTTGGGTTTAAAAGGGAACCGTGTGATTTTGAGTTGGTAGGGACCTTAGATGTCCCATCACAATATACACGGCATTTGTATTTTTCTCTTGAAAGTTAAACCTGAAAAAACGACCAGGTGAAAGCAATCCAGTACCACAGGAAGACGTTCCTGTGAGCCCCGGCGAGGCAGCCCATCAGCCCTTTTGCTGCCACTGGTCTCAGCACCAAGACATTTGCCTGTGGTTTTAATTTGTAACCTTTTAAGTTTTCTGTTAAATGCTATCCAAAAATTACTTATATTTGAATGTTGTTAGGGGGCATCCACGGGATCATAAGTAAATGATTTAAAAGTGCTTGTTACTTGGCAGTGTGAGGAGCCATGAGTCTGGCTTTGGTAGATGGTTTGCACGCACATTGAGCTATCTAACAGAGTTTCCCTTCTTTCACAGGAAATTGAGCATGGCCTTTCAGCTATGCTAGGTCTATAATGGGAAGTGTCACCTTTCGGTATTTCTGCTATGGATGCCTCTTCACATCTGTGACCTGGACAGCTCTGCTTTTTGTTTACTTCAACTTCAGCGAGGTGACTCAGCCACTTAAGAATGTGCCCGTCAAGGGGTCTGAGCCCCACCGGCCATTCCCGAAAAAATTCTATCCCCGCTTCACACAAGGTCCAAGTCGAGTATTAGAGTTACAATTCAAAGCAAACAAGGTGGGCGACATGATAGATAATGAGAATGAAGATCCAGGAAAAAGCAACATAAAATTCTCTCCTGAATTGGGTAAGTGGGCTTGACTTTTACTAGCAGTCATTTCAAAGTGTTTAATGATTGGAAGGTGAGGTTTAATTAGACTTGAATCATGGGATGTTAAGAGGATTCGAAATGTGTCCTCTCTTGTCTCCACTGCTCTTTTTTGGTATGGAGCTATTTGAGGGACTGATGGTAGCAGGTACCAGTGGGGAGTTAAATTCTACCGTGGCCAATTCTGACTTCAGTACTGTACAGGCACTTGGAAGACGCTTACAAGGTCTAGAGAAGGGGGGAGGGGGGATATCAAAGCTTAAAAGGCTGCATGGAAAGTGGAATGGGAGAAGATTTTGATGGCTAGGAATATTAAATGAGGAAAATAAATATTTGAAAAAAAACATTGAAAAATGTCTTGAATGTAGTTAACTTATTTTGAAAGGAAAATTTAATAAAAAACAGATAGAGGTATTCGATTTAGAAACAGAAATCTGAGACTACTTATACCATAAAAGATTTCTACTTATAAGAATTATGAACACTGGACTCTTGATATTAAATACAGGAGGTTATTTAAGCCGATCATAAAATGGAAAACTTTCTTTTTTCTTTCAGAATTATACTCTGTCCAATTTGGAAGTAAGGGTCTGTCTGTCTGTCTCTGGATACTATGATTTAAGACCCCTGAAATGAAATTTAGTAGATAGTGTTTTAAGAGATGAATAAGCCATTTTAGCTATATTTAAAATGTAGACAGTAGAACTTTTATTTTCTTGTCATAGAAGACTGTTCACAAGTCTAGGAAGAAAAACAGAAACCCTTATGGCTTTCTAATATATAAAGGTGAAATATGGAAACAGAAGCCAATACCTATTTAAATTTCTATAAAATGTACCTTATCTTTTTCAAATGATTGCACAGACACTTTAAAATCTTATAATGGGAAAGTTTCTTGCACTTTTGTTTTATTTGTAGTTGTTTTGGTAAAGGTAAAGCTTTTATTAAAGAAGTATCTTGGGTTTACCATTTTGAGTGAATTTTGTGTTTACATTTGAAAGAAGTAGTGAAGGAAGTGTAGGTATTTGAAGTGACAGACTCAAATTGCCTAACTGAAGAACTAAATTCCTTATTAAAAAATCTTAATTCATTTAAAAGTATTAAAATTAATAACTGAATTCACCAAAGTTGCAAAGTGCAAGATCAGTATATAAAAGTCAGTTATATTTCTACACACGAGCAATGAATTATCCAAAAATGACAGTAAGATTACAAATCCACTTACCAAAGCATCAAAAATAATAAAATACTTAGAAATAACTTTAACCAAGGAGATGCAAGACATTGAAAACTATAAAACAATTACTGAAAGAAATTAAAGAATACTTAAAATAAATGGAAGTACATCCTGGATTAGAGAACTTCACATAAACAGCACTGCTACCCAAAGCGATCTGTATATTTGATGCAATCAGCATCAAAATCTATTGCCTTTTTTGGTTAATATCTTAAAATTCATATGGAATCATAAGAGACCCTGAATAGTTAAAACAATCATGAAATGGAGGCAAGTTGGAAGACTAACACTTCCCAACTTCAAAAAATTTTTTTTTTCTCCTCAGTGATTTTTTTTTTCTTCCTTTTTTTTAACATTTTATTAGGGGCTCATACAACTGTTATCCCAATCCATACACACATCAATTGTGTAAAGCACATTTGTACATC